TGTATGTACAAACGCTTTGCCTTGTCTTCCCATCTTCACATTCCTGATAAGATATTAAGTTTATAATAATTGTGAAATAATGGTTTATGTTAATATATGGTGGGGAGATAGTCCCATAGTCAAGAAAGTTACTTACATTTTAAATAAGAATGATTGTTGTCAAGATTAAGACAATGGTACAAGATACTAATGGTACTAGATATTATATACTGTTTTTCTAATTGGGAAAATAAGAAGAACAATTAAGGTCTTGAGTGATGAATCCTCTGTGTCTGTTTTTCTAAATTGATCTGAATTTTTTTCTGGATTCAGTCTCACCTAAAATTCTATTATCTTATTCTCTTCAGTATCTACATGTTTATTGTTGTTTGCTGGTTTTATTATGAAAGAGTCCTGTAAATAAAGCGTAATGATTGGCAATGGAGAGGCTGGTGTGGAAGAAAGCCGAGTAGAAGCTACACAGTATCAATGGATAGGCACAGGTTTTCATCCAGATAGTAGGTTGTGGTCATTCTTGTTGCCAATGATACAGCCAGGATGAACTTGGGTGCTGAAGCCACACTACCCCTCACCCTCACCATATGATGACTTGAGCAGTATTTCTCATTTGATTCCCCATTCCTTAGCATTAATGATGCAACAAGAGAATTTCCTCTCTCACATGCAAATGCCTCCTCTGATCTGACCTTTACTCTTGCTTCTCAACCTATTGAGAAGAGAAACCAGGGGTCCTTACAAGATTCACTGTCTTCCAGGTCCTTACTGTCTCTCTGCCCTGACTTGCCATGGCCCTCTCCACCTTGCATCATTTGACCCCAGATACTCCAGACTCATATTATTATTCAACTACTCCTGCCCCATTATAAAAGGCAGGCCTATAATTGAGGACATGTCATTTAAGATAAATGTCATTTATTTAAACAATACCATTACCACCAAAACTAGGTGTGGAAGAGACATCTTGAAGTTTTTCAGTGCATAAGGGGTAAAGAAAGAATAGTTTAAGAAATCAATATAATGCACCAATAAACCTTCCATTTCCATGGAGTTTGAGGCTTGCAGGAGTTTGTGTGCTGTCAAGAACTGTCACCACAACCAATGTAGAGAGGAGGAAACTCTAGCTTTGAGTGGCTAAATGTTATAGCCACAGGGAAATACTGCAGAGAAGAAATCCAACTCCGAATCTCCAGAGGATCCTTCACTGGAACCTTTCCTGGGTTCCATCCAGAATGATGCAGCTTTTGGTACATCCATTACAGGCACCAGAAAGCACAGATGTGCACAGAACGCATTTTAAACTGAGCATTTGGATTCATTTTGTTTGTTTAACTTCTGACATGGGTTCTTAGATCAGTAGTTCTCATTCTGAATACGATAATAAACAAAGATCTAACTTCTCTGGGTGAGCCAAATTTGAGATCTGACTTGCTACCAATACTGCAGCTGAGATGAGATGAACCTCCAATGCTGAAGCTACACTGGCCCTCACAGAGTGATGACTTTGTCAATAACTTGGTATTTTTAAAAATTAATTCCCCAGGTATTATAAGGGGAATGATCACTTTAGCCAGATAAGAGTGCTAGACTTAGCAAGAATGTTGTCTTTCAGGTGCATTGTTGCAACTGCCTCATCTCTGAGATCCTGGTTTCCACTTTTGCCTACATCCCATATATCATGAAAAGAACATCTGCAGGGATCCTATTACATTAGTCCTACTCATCATTTTGTCATATGATTGTAGTCCCAAAAATGGAGATGCGAGGCAAGTCAATAGGATTGCCTTCATTTGAGGCCAGCCTGGGCTACAGAAGAAGACCTTATCTCAAACGAAAACAATAATTAGTCCTGCCACTCTTGCTCAGTTTCTTGCCATTACACTGCTGAAGCCAAAATTCACTGCTGGCTTCTGCTATCTGCCACTTCCTTTCAGGTTTTCTGCTTCCACCACCTACCACTGTGGCTGTTTGAGTCATTTTGCTCTGGCCACTTGAGACCCCTCACTCTTACTCAAATACTCCAGAAACATTGCTGCCTAAGGACCCTTTCAACTGCTGTTTCCTCCACTTGGGAATCCTTGCCACATACATTCACACAAATCTCCCCTTTACCTCCTTTTATCTTTTTATTCAAAAGGTATTTTCTTAGAGGGACTTCCCCCTGGATTTGTTATCTACAATCACAGCTCCCCCACATCCCAACACTTCATTTTTATTCCTTTGATTTTATTTTTAATCTCTTGAGCACTAAACAACATGTACTATGTGTATTTAATTGTGTGCTTTATTTTCTGCCTTTCCCACTAGCTCAGAAGCTCTGTGATAGCACTTTGTTGAGAAATTAACTATCTTAGTTTGAAAAGGGAGAGAAGAATTCGTTTATCCTAGCTGGAGCTTAATCATCTAATCCTGGGATAGCCTTATGGTCATGCCTGAACACAGTAGATTTTAGTAACTAATTGTTGAATGATGGAAAAGTTTTGAAAATAATGAACCTTGGGGCAAAAGAAGAAGAAAGAGAAAAGAAAGAAAGAAAGAAAGAAAGAAAGAAAGAAAGAAAGAAAGGAAATAAGAAAATATAGAATAAAGTCAGAGATGCTGGGCAGAGGAGAGAACCAGGTGGCAAAGGGAAGACAGAAAAAGAGTAGCACAGAGCCTGGGGAGAAAGCTCATCAATAAAGTACTTGTCACTGAAACCTAAGGACCTGACCTGAATCTACTTTTTAAAAAAAGTCAGGCATGGCATGGTGGCTTGAACCTTACATACCAACACTAGGAAAGAGATAGGAGACTAGCAGCAATCTCATTGGCCATCCAACCTAGCCTAATCGTTAAGTTCCAGGTCTCAGTGGCAGACTATGTTCCAAAGACAAACTAGACTGCTCCTGAGGGACAAAACCAGAGGGTGACCTCTGGTTTCTATGCACATGCACACACACACACACACACACACACACACACACACACACGACTAACTCATAACTGAAAGAACAAGGAATACATAGAGGGAAACACAAAAGGAAGAGTTCTTCTTCCCTTTTGTTCAGTATCTACAGCTTCTTCCATGGCTCTTTCAGAAACTCCAGACAGACTAACCTCAGAAGTTTGCTGATCATCCACTCTTCTTCAAAGTCAGCCAAACTCTTAAGGTCATAGTGAACTTGTGTGTGGCCTGATGCCAGAAGTGAATCCACCATACATCTCCTAGTTAAACCAGGCTACTCTCCATCAACACCTACTCTCTTAGGAATCCATCCATCCACATACACCTGCAATGCCACATCCTAAGGATTGCTGCTTCTGAGGCACAATCATAAAGGGCGTGTCATACTCTTCAGTGCATCTGTACTCCAGCACAGTCAAGTACATCTCCTAACTGAACAAATGAGAGCCTCATCTGTCTGCCATGCAAGGACTGTGCATTCTACCCTGTACCTCATATCTCAAGCACTGGGGTCCTCTGGAACTAAAGGGGATTGCTAATAGTCCTCAAGGTGGGGCAGCGGCTTTCTCTCCTGATTTAGTCCCTATTATTATATTATTTGTCAATTAAAGAAGCCCTTTTCCCTGTAGCAACTAAGTCTTGCAAAAATTACTTTGTGCTGAGAGAAATGGTCTTGCTAAGATTTTTCATTTTTTTCTAGAGTTTGATCATCCCAAAATTTAACACATGATAGAAACTTTAATGCAAGAATCCAAACAAGTTTTTAGAGCTAAAAGCTTTGGTGTATTTTTCATAATAATTTAGCAGATCCAAACAACAGGGCAAGGGCAGGTCAAAGAAATTGCCAGGGTCATGCTTCTTCAGAGGTAGTATTGGATTCAGAATTGTTGATCGCCGATGCTGTTTGTCACCTAGTTATCTCTCTCACCCTCCTTACCAATGATCCTTTATTTTATACAAAATAAAGTCACTTTGTTATTTGTGAAGTCTCTACAAGCCTTCCCATAGCCCTTTCATTGTCTTTTAATGTCAGTTTACTCAATGGAGAGGAAGTGTAAATAATAGGTTCACTGTCCTCTGTATTGCAGTATGAATGAAATAACTTACAAAAAGGGACAACTGGGGAATGTTTTTCAGAACCTGAAACTATTTTTATTATATTTTATTTATTTTGTGTCCTGGATGTGTGTGAGCAGGTGAGCAGGTTGGAAGACAACTTGCTACAGTCAGTTCTTTCCTTTCACCACGTAGAACCTGGGACTCGAACTGCAATTGCAAGACTTGGTGAAAAGCACATTTACCCGTGGGCCATCTCTCTAACCCCAACTTTTGATTTCTTGAATTGCTTTGAATTAACTTGATTTTTATTCTGAGAACAAGACCAACAAACAAAAGACTCCCTTAAAAACTCAAAGGTTCCTCTGCCAAAGAAGCAAGAGGAAATCAGATGTGTAAATAATTCTTGTTTTAATACCCTAGACTAGGAAAAAAAACAAAAAACAAAAACAAAAAACAAAAACCTTAGAGTGTTGTCTCCAAGGGAAGCTTCTTAAAGTCACAGCATCTTTAAACAGGTCCCTTGACCCATTGGGTTTCAGTTGGTTTTCAGATCTCTCCAGAACAACTCTGAATTCAGAATTCTCCCGGGCTCAGTCTTTGTGCTCACCCGCCACAGGGAATTGTGCCAACTGCCAACTCCAGCGTTTGAGGGGCAAGGACTTTGCAGGGGCGCGGGTCTGTGCGGCAGGAGAATCTCATCATCAGTGGGCGTTTAGCGCAGCCAAGCGACAGGCTGGCGTCAGGGCTAGGCAAAGGGGAGGCGCCGGCTGAGGCGGGGAGAACTTTGGCGCTCCGAGAAACACCACCCTTCACTGGCCAGTTGTCTCTCTCCTCTGAGGAAGCCGCGGAGGTGGCGCCTGGGCGAAAAGCCCGACAGAGAAAGGAAGAGAGGAAGTAGAGAGGGAAGAAGGAAAATGAAGCAGGCACTGGGGGATCCCGCAGTAGAGTGGCCGGCTGGGAAGGGAAACAGGTTCGGCTGCTGCTTTTCTGCACCCCGAGCATGAACGCCCTCTCCTCTGCCACCCCAGTAAATAAGGGGGATCTCCTGAACTGAACAGCAAGAGAAAAGAAGCCAGCCAAGTAGGAACAGTGCTCCTCTGTCACTGCCGCTCCATTGCAAGCCGGACGGCT